TCTCCGGGGACGCGGCTGGCCGGCGGGGCGCGCCGCAGGTTAGCGGAGCGCGGGGTGCGGGCTGGGTGCGTCCCCCCCCCTGCCAGGGACGGTGCGTCCCCCTCGCTCCCCACAGTTGGGTGGACGGGAGAGAAGGGGGCTTGTCCGTGAGAAAAGGCCACAGGAAATTCCCAGGGCCCGGACGATGGGGGGGGGGATAGGGAGGGGGGGACACGGTCTTCCCATCCCCTTCCCACCCCTGGAGCGGATCCAGAAGTGTCCCCGTGGTGAGGGGCGCCGTCCCGCCCCCAGGAGCTGGAGAGAGGATTTGGGGGGTGCACGAACTCCCCAAAGTCCACGCAAGCTCCCTGAGCACCCCTACGGAGGAATGAGGATCCCCCCCGAGGAAGGGGGAGCGCCCCAACCGCGCTGCCAGCGAAGCCCGGCACCGAGGACGGAAGCCCCCACCCGAGGCGACTCCCGGGCGGCTTCCCACGTCTTCCTCCGAGGGAGAAGCCCTGGCTTGGCTTGCAGTCGCGTCCTCCGGCCTGGACGTGCCCTCTGCGCGCCTGTGTGCAGCCCCCTCCTCCCCCGGCCACTGGGAACCTCAACTTGTAGATGGAGGGACCTCGTGGACCCCGCCACCGCCGCGCTCGGAAAGGATTCCACTCGCCCCGTGCCTGCAGGCCCAGGGGAGAAGGGAAGAACTTTACCTGTGGCGGACTGAGCGGGAATGGAGATCAGCCCGGTTCCTTGGCCTCTGCACAGTGCCTGCTGCGCTGCTGTGTAGACCGGACTACTCACAAGCAGCAACCCAGGCAGACTGCCTTGCTAGCAAATGCACGACTCACAAATATCCAGGGCAGGAAGACTCTCTAACAGATACCGCAAAAGATGCCCGTTTTCTAAGTCGCTTGGTCTCCTCCAACTGTCCCAACCGGGCAAATAATCCAGAGTTCTTGCCCCACAGCTGGCCTACTGACTGAGGGTAGAGCCTGAAGAAAGCGGGTGGGACTTTTAAGTGAACACAGTAAAATTTAGTCAAAATGCCAGAGGTTTGGCACACACACACACACAAATAGGAGAAACCACTATAGTGAATTTAAGCTAGTCATCATGGAGAAATTGATGCGTCGTTTCTAGTCTTGCTGTTCTCCAATTATTCCTACCCATGAATGTTCCAAAGCGTTCATAGAGGCACAATATAATTGTCTAAGAAGAAAGGAGTGTTTATGTAAATTATGATGTTAAAAGAACATAGACTAGGGTGAACAAATGCAGCAAAGGTACTCACTAGACACTATGTTGAAAATATACAACTTGTGGATGGGCTTGGGTGAGAAAAAGTGGGTGAGGGAAGGGGTGACATTGTCCAAAAAGAAATGTACTCTTTACCTGACCTATGTGCCCCTCTATACATCACCTTTACAATAGCAATTAAAAATTTTAAATACACAGAAAAACATAATGAAATAGGGAAATCTTGTGAGGGTAAAAAAAAAAACTATATGAAGCTATGAAATCAAGAGATTATCTGGTTTTAAATATCAGAAAACCCAGGCTCATACCTATAACCCTAGCTTCTTGGTAAGCTGAGATCTGAGAATCCTGAAGCTAGTTCAGGCAGACAAATCTGAGAGACTTTGTTCTAATTAATCAGCAAGAAGTCAGAAGCAGAAGTGTAGCTCTAGTAATAAGAGTCCTGTCTTGAACAAAATAAACCTAGACAGAGCACTAGGCCCTGAGTTCTAGACCCAGTAGTGGAACTGATTAAAAAAAAAAAGAAAAAAAGCTGGAGGCTGAGATCTGAGGATCAGGACTTGAAGCCAGCCAGGGCAGGAAAGTCCATGAGACAATGTCCACAGCTACCCAAAAAGCTGGAAATGGAGCTGTAGGTCAACTTTGAGCAAAAGGTTCTAACCTTGAGCAAAAGGGGCCCTGAATTCAAGCTCCAGGAATAGTATACACACACACACACACACACTGTTAAGAACCCATCTTGGGGTTGAGATCATGAGAGGTTTATTTTTCTCATACTCATTTTCTATAAACTCGCAAACCACGTTTAGAGGTTTTCTATTACCATCAAGCTTAGCATCCAATGTCACAATTTCTCTGTCCATGCAATTGCATTCACCATGGCAGAGTGGCTAAATCAGCTGCAGGACTCCTGGGTAGGATATTTAGAGGTTTCCTTTTGTGTTTTTAGTATCCACAAATAAAATTGAAGTTCTTTAAGAGCAGAGATTTTCAATCCTTTGTACTGTACACACATTTATGAATAGGTTGGAACAAGAAAAATAGAAAAACATGACAGTACCACATCCATACAGATGTCAAAGAATCTATAGGTTTATCCCATGGAGAAAATTGGAAGAAAATTTAGAAAAAAAATAGAAGAAATTTACACTTTGAAGTTTTAAGTATTTCTGCCATAGCAACGTATAAAGGATTCATAAGCATCAAGATAACACACATTATATTTAATACAAAACAGAAACGAGATTGGGGGTCAGAGAATTAGAAGAGTAGGCTAGGGATTTAAAATGGGTCTGGAAAGGAGTTTCAGAATTGCACTGTAATGACTTGTGCATGTACTCCAGTAAGCTGGGAATAACTGCAGCTTCTCAAATTGTGTGTGTGTGTCTGTGTTGGTAGTGGGGCTTGAACTCAGGACTCCCACTTTTGTGTAGCTTTTTGGCTGAAGGCTGGTACTCTACCGCTTGAGCAATACTACCAGTTTCTGCTTTTTGCTAGCTAATTGGCCATAAGAGTCTCTTAGATTTGTTTGCCTAGGTTGGGTTTGAACCTCAATCCTCATAACTCAGCCTCCTGAGTAGCTAGGATTAAAGGTGAGAGCCACAAGTACCAGCTTCAAACATGTGTTTATAAAACCAAAAACCTGCTGGGCACCAGTGGTTCACACCTGTAACCCTAGCTACTTAGGAGGCTGAGATCTGAGGATCTCAGTTCAAAGCCAGCCTGAGTAGGAAAGTGCATGAGTTCCTTGTCTCCAAAAAAGCTGGAAGTGGAACTGTGGCTTAAGTGGTACAGTAGCTAGCCTTGAGCAAAGGAAGCTCAGGGACAATGCTTAGGCCCTGAATTCAAGCCCCAGGATGGGGGGTGGGCAGGGGAAAGAAAGGAAAAAAAAAAAAAAGCAAGCAAGATGTTTAAGCAGTGTGTGCACCAGGAGGCAGTTAAGTACCACAGGAGGAGTGATAGATCAGGGTGGGCACAGCTGTTCCCTTCAGGCTTTGGTTTTAAGCATTTCAAGCTGTTGCTGCTTTGAAGATTAACAAGGAGCCAGTTCTAAACCTCTGAAGCCAGGAACGTTTTTGTTTTTTGAGCTTATCAAGTGAGGTCTTCGAGTGCATTTCTTAAATATTTACTTTCACATTCTGTTTCCAATGTATTTCATGCAGGACCTCATCAGAAACTCCCCCACCCTAACTAGGACCCCTAAGATGATGTGATACTTGTGGTACTTACATCATACTGAGAAGTAGCCGACAACGCCAGTGTTTGGAAGAACAGCTCACGCATTAAAAGCAGCAATATCCAAATAAGGTGCCAAGCACTGAACTTAGATTTAGACCAAATGATATCTCACAGAGCTGCAGTCAAACGCAGCCCTGGGTCACTGTAATCCTCAGATTGACTTCAGCTTTTCCACTGAGCCTCTTGGTTCTATGCTCTAACACAAAATTTCTAAAAGGTTTGAAGGAAGAAGAGAGGTCAGAGATAAGAGAAAGTATGCTTTTTCATATGCTTGTGTAAAAGGGGCTTAAATTTGTAATAGGAAGTCACAAAGGTGAAATGTCATGAATCATTCCTGCCAAACACTAGGTGAGCCTCATTCCTCTTGCCAAACTCGGCAAAACTGATAGTGAGAAAGAATCATGGGAAGTAGGCTGTGACTTCTGAGTGGGAAGGAAGCTTACAGAAGCACTTGGCCGGAATTAGTAGAGATTCCTTGTAGAAATCAAGAAAAGCTAGGTGTGGGTGGCTCACTCCTGTAATCCTAATCCTACCTACTCAGGAGGCTGAGATCTGAGGATTGCTGTTTGAAGTCAGTTGGGGCAGGGCAGTCAGTGAGACTCTTATCCTCAGTTAACCAGAAAA